AAGTATGGGAAAAATATAAATTATGATTTAAATATATAAAGTAAAAATTTATTTCACAATTTCATGTGAAATATTAAGTTGCTCCTATTGTATAAAAATAAGTACATGAAAAAACATAATCAGATTGAAATATTGAGCAATTTAATCTTTATGCATGGATTGGTGTGTGATCCTACTATTGACATGGATGAATTTAGTAAGAATAATTTTTAAAAATTAAATATTATTAGAAGGATAAATTGTGATTAAAAAAATAAAATATTTGGGACGAATCAGATCTTTATACTCAATCACCCTTTTAAAATAAATAAATTAATCAATCAAATAATCAATTTATTGGTTTTACGTCCCATGTCTGCACTTCGCCAATATATATATATATATATATATATATATATATATATATATATAATTCATATTTCATCAAAAGCGTAGAGTATAGCCGCAAAGTGAAGAACTAGACTATTTGCCACTTTAATACTTTTTCTCATATTTTATTTGCCAATTGCTAACATAGTTTCAAATTATATTCCTATTGTTCGATCTTTACCCAATTACCCAGAACATAAATAAATAAACGAGAAATTAATAAGTATATCATCAATGTAGCACATTCATCCAATAATCACTCACGTTTTATCTTGTAATATAGAAATTACATTCACTCCAAAGGCAGGGAGGGGTCACACAATGGTAGTAGCACCGGGTAAACGTGTGTTCCATGAATTTGCAAGAGACATGCCTCCATGACTAGTGTTACAGGGCCAAATTACACCACGAATTTTTGCCTCTGTAATGGCACTTGGGGCCACCAAGTCTCAGCCAACACAACAACACAATACACACAGTATATAAATGTAAAGAAGGCACACACAGTTTACAGGGACAAGCCCCAACCTTTGCTCATATTAAACATATCACAAAGAAACATGAGTTCGTACAAGGAACAACCAAGGCTCACACCCTCCTCTCTGTCCCCTCTACAAAGCTTACCTTAGCATTATATAGGCCATTCTCAAAACCGCCCAGAACTGCCCACTAAGATGATGGATGATACCCCCATCCACCTAGGGTCGTGCTGGCACCCTCCAAATGTGCCAGCACTATAATGCAGTTGACAAGCCCAACTGTTAGACTTGTTGGCATGTTCTGCTCATGCCACATAACCACAAGAAGTTACATTCTGCATAGTGGAAGAAACCACCCTTAACCGCCTATGTGTTGGTGCTCTCAGAATTATGCCACATGCTTAAGAGGTTACTCAGCACTCCCCCACTTCTCATGATGAGTGGGAAGTGCTAGTAACTTCCCCCAACTGACCGAGCCCACTAAACTACCACCTCTTATAACCGCAAGCCATGACTTTGTGTTGTCTATGCTCTAGCCACATCTGAGTCAACCTTGTGAACCTAGCCCAAGTCCACCAATCTGCACCCACATATATATGTCTCTGAGTGCACGGCGTGCCAAGCCATGCACGCTCGGGTGCATGCCAAAGTGCACGCCGGCGCACACACTAGCGCCCTTCTACGCGCGCCATGTTTGAACCCTCATGCGCCCGTGGTTGTACGCCCGCCTAGACGCCCATGCGCACGCCGAGCTAGACGCTCGCGCACACTAGGTTGGACGCCTGCCCGCGCGCCCACCTGCACGCCCGCACGCGCGTCGCTGCACACCAGCGCGCGTGTCGGTGCCCACTTGTTTGCCCTTCAATATCTTGGATGCTCCTCACTTGTGCAACCATCTTGGAGTGGTGCAACACGTGCCCATGCACGTTGGCTAAGCCCTCTAAGCAAGCCATGCCATAGCCCAACCGATGTGCTCAACAGACCCCTCCCTAGTATAGTCTTAAGGAAATCAAGCACTCTGACAGGAGTAGACATCACCCATGTTTGAGGAGTCATAATGGCCTTTCAGGCCTTTCCCGACATCCAAATTAAGTGCCGTCTGCGTCAACCAGCTTCTATGGACTCAAGGTACCTCCCATAAAGATCTCGAGTCAAAACTCCAAGTTTCACTTTTTGCCATATTTACGAAAGTGCCACTGGGCATCCCCAGTGCACGCCGAGCATCCTTTTAAGCATCTTGTGTGCACGCTGAGCATCTTGTGCACGCTGACAACCCACTGAGCATCCTCATGGCTGTCTAACCAAAGCCAAGTATTCCCAAGACATGGCATGGCCTTGAAATGCCCATGTCTTCCCTTGGACAACCGTCAAGGGGCTAACAACTAGGCACTACAAAAAAAAAAATCTTTGGAAAATTTTCGATCATATTAATAATTTAAATGCATTTAGCACTCTTATTTAGTACATAAATGACTAAGCTAGGATTAAATTATTAGTCTAGTTTGAGATTATAATACATGCACAAATCCCTTTAATATATGTCATTCATGAATCATGATACACTACCTAGCAATTGTTAATTAAGAGAAATGGGAAGTTAGAAAGAACGAGGGTTTTGTCAATATAATGATTTTTAGAAATAAAATGTATAGAAACGGGATCACTACTCTGACACAGGACGGACCTAATAGCAAGTGAGGGGGGCAATTGCTTCCTTGAAATTTTTATTTTTTTACTAATATACCATTTTTTTTATTTAATATATACCCCTAAAATATTGCTAATGCCCCCTAAAATTATTACAAAATTTCAGCCTTGCCCTCCTTACCTAAAGTTTTAGGTCCGCTGCCCTGCGCAAGACGTCCTTTATTTATCGTGAATACATCAGTTATTGCATAAGTGATCTAGTATAAGTTATTACATAACCAATATGAAATTGTTACATAATTAATATAAAATAATTGCTACAGAACTATTATGTATCATAAGAGAAGATCCGAGTTCAAAATACACGATGATTAATTAATACATAAAACAAACTTAATCACCAAATTCGTTCCAGCATCATATAAATGACTATTGACCAAACTCTGGATTTTGATTGTAATTTTATCAACTAAGAGTTTATCATGCCATTCATAAAATGGTCCATAAATAAACGCGCGAAATATAACAAAGATTTAATTACATAATAGACTCCTAAAAACAGTGGGTGGGGTGGGGGGGAAACAAGTTATATACCAAATGAAAACATTCCAAATTGTCACCATTTATATAAACAAACATTTACTGACACTAAAGTTTCATCAAACTAAAACATACCAAATTGTCTCCATTTAAATAAACAAGCATTAGCCAACATTAAAATTCCATTTAAATGCTATATCTACACATTAGATTAGAATATGTATACTATTTAAGAGTTTCACATGTCTTTGCCTCATCTTTAAATGATTTTTATTTACTGCAATAAATCGTTCAAATTACCGGAAAAGAAAGAGAAAAAAGAAGAAGACATAACTCGTTTATTCTCTTCCCTATTTTAAACTTCTCGTCTCCACCCCCATCAATCATAAGGGACCATCTTTTCCTTTCTCCTGAATTAAGCCACACTCACAAGTCATTGAGCCTTAAAAATAAAAATAGAGTTACATAAAACATTATTCCAATCGTAACATTTTTTGGACTTTGGATGCTCTTTAAGAATCGATTACTTTTACTATTTTACAAATTCGGTCCAGCAAATTTTTTGATAATTAAATACTAGTTAGGTTCCGTTTGTTTGGACGTAAAATATTTTTTAAAAAATATTTTTTTATTTTGTGGTATTTGATTGTCGTAATATATTTACAAAAAAAAAAAAAAAAAAAAAATTAACAAAAATAACTTATCCATCAATTTTTCGCAATTTATTTTATATGAAACTCGACCTCAATCTCAACGTAGACTTTTGCTAAACACCAACAAAGTAAAAATAAAAGAATATTCTACTTCAAAGAAAAATATTTTTCAAAAGGAATATTTTACGTGGAAACAAAGAGAGCCTTAATAAAAATTATTATCACTAAATTTGAGACCACAAAATTGGTGTCTTAATTCTAAAAGGGAAATGATCCAATCCAAACCATTTGACTATATGTATAATTTTATATATATATCTCTTAACGGTTCGGTTTGGTCTGTTTCGATTTTGAAGGACATCAAATCATAACCAAATCGTATTTTTACGATTCACAAAATTTAGAATCGCGACCGAACCAAACCGCTAGTAAGCCAAACCAAATTGTTCAGTCTGGTTTGAATTTTCGGTTTCACCGAATTTTTGTGGACCCCTGGTTTCTAGGTGTGTCCCTGTTTAGGGTTATATCTTCCTGAGATCCGTAAAAATTATATTATATAGAGAGTGAAGAAAATAAATAAAGAATACAAATATGAAAAGTAAAAAAAAGCGTTAGAGAAATATAATAGAAATATGAGAGAGAAATATAATAGAAATATGAATATAATTAGTATTATATATAGAAAATATATGTATTATATATAAAGTATTTATAGAAAGAAAATTAATTAAATAACGCTATTATATATATTATATATATAGAAATGAAGGAGAAAATGAATAAAGAGTAGTTTGGGTCCTCTAAAAGGACATTGTTGGTATTAAAGATCATTTATTTATCACATGATCCGCACATGTCAATTTTGGAGTTAGAAGTTCTTATTTGCACACATAATTAAAACACGAAATGTCAAGGACGAATCAAAGAATTGTCAATGGGGACTAGTATTGAACATAAATTTAATTACACAATTTTATAAGCAAATTTTTTTTGAGTGGGTTAAAAAGGGGCTAATACTACTATTAAAAAATTTTTTTAAAAAAATTAGGCTGAAAATACAATATTCAAAAAAAAAAATTTTTTTTTGGGGGGTTCAAGCCCACCTGTTATTTGCACATTTTTTAAGCTGTTAGGGTGTTTTTTTTGCCCTTCACCCCAAATTAAATAGTGATTTTATTATTATTATTTTTTAAGAAATTACCGTATTAGAAGGCCTAGCTAGATTATAGAGTGGGCTCATTTTACATAAGCAGCCCTTTCTAATCTGTGAAATTACAAATTGCCATTGTCTTCCGTGCTAAATATGGGACTCTCTGGATCAAACGGCATGACCGCTGTCCTAATTTAGCTTCTCATACAATAGCAATCAAACATAGAAGAAGAAGAAGAAGCTGCTACGCAGGTTAGCGTCAACAAGGAGGGCATCATCTCTGTCTCGCAGTGAAGAGGCGCAGGTTAGAACCACTTTGATCTCTCTCTGTTACAGATCTACACTCTGTATTGTTGGATCACGAATAAAAATTATCCTCCCCATCAGGTACGCTCTGAATCGAACTAGATCTCATTTGCATCCCTCTGATCTCTCAATTTCGTGTTCCAATTCCTCGATCTTATTAATTTAGGGTTTTTTAGATCGTTTTATACATTTGAAAAAAAAAAATGAATTCGAATTACGGAAAATCCAGTAAATCGGTGTCCCTAAACAACTTCGACTTTGATTTAGGATTAAACACAAACCGTTCTCGACCTCTCAAAGATCAGAAAAACCAAACCTCTTCATTTTCTTCTTCTTCATTTTCATCCACGCAAACAAAACCTAATACCACGTCGTCTTGGCAACCCAACAAACCCTCCTGGACTCACCAACCCGCGCCGAGTCAATCGAATCTGCCTGGGTTACCGACTGGTTCGACCTCTATGGTGGGAGATATATTTGGGAAGACCTGGGGTTCATCGGCTCCTTCTAGTACCACCTCCGGTATTGGAATTGTCAATAAAAACCCTAATTTGTTCGGAGATCTTGTCAGCTCGGCCATTGGGCAAAATAAGGGCAACACAAATGTTCCTTTGAAAAATGCCACACCAGCCTCCAATAAGAGTGCTTATTCAATGGGTAATTTGGGGGATTCGTTGCCAAAAGCTGGTAATGCAGCGTCGAATAGCAGTAATTGGGGATCTTCTGGGAATACTGGGAATTATACTAGTGCATTCAATTATAGTAGCAGCAGCAATGTTAACAATACAAAGAGTGCAAATCTTGGAGGTCCTTCAATTCGTAGTGTAGGTGGAGGTGGGATGAGCTCAAATAAGGACCCTTTTGGTTCTTTGGTAGATTTTTCATCGAAGCCAATGGGTAGTATGAATTCATCGGAGAAAAGTAATAATATAACTAATGATGCATTCGGTAACTTTCAGAATGCTTCGAAATCAAGTACACCTGTATTCACATCGAATGCCTCTCCTGCAAATAAGAACAACTCAGTGGAATCTAATTATGGTTCTTATTCAAACATGGATGATTTTGGGATTCCTACTTCTCAGAATAAACCTCCTACTCAGACCGCTGGTGTTGATGCATTTGATGTGTTGTTCTCCTCATCCTCGGCCTCAGCTGGAGCTGCTCCAAAAGCGTCTGAAGGACTTGCGAGCGAACAATTTTCTGGAGCTGAAGATTGGGGTGATTTTGGAGGAGGGGATGACGCTAGTGGGACAACCGAGCTTGAAGGGCTTCCTCCCCCACCCTCTGGAGTTTCTGCTTCATCTGCAATGAATAAGGGGGTGGATAATCAGAAGCAAGGGCAATATGCTGATGCTATTAAGTGGCTGTCTTGGGCTGTGATTCTTCTTGAGAAGGCTGGTGATGATGCTGCCACCAAGGAGGTCTTATCGTGCAGGGCTTCATGTTACAAAGAAGTTGGGGAATATAAAAAGGCTGTGGCCGACTGCACAAAGGTATAACTGTTATACTTGATGCTTTCCTAATTTCTGTTTTAAGTTTTGGAAAATTATTTTCAGTTTACTAAATTAATTTAGAAATAACAGTATGGAATTGCCGTGAATTGTCACTCAACAAATTGCTGTGTCATTATGGCTTATAGGTGATTAGAATTTTGTAAGTCAACATTTGTTTGGACAATTCATGGGTTGGCTAGCTGCTGTATTGCAGTTCTGGAATTACTTTTTCTTTTCTTCTCTGTTTATCTAGGTAAGTACGACTGCAGAATTTCATCCCTTCTTTTGCCCTCTTGCAATGAAGTACTGGATTCTGCTCTTCTGGTAGACAGATTTTTTAAAGGCTCTCTAACCCATTTGTGGATTCCTCAAACTAGCAATTTTTTCAGCTAATCAATCCACGGCTTGTCTATCTTAGTGTTGGGATTTGGTGCAGTGCAGCAGCTGTGCTGCAGAGGATCCCGACTACTATCTAAGAACTCAGTCTAGCAAAAGAAAAAAAAAATGGCTATTTATATTTTAGGACAATCTATTGGCATGTGTTATTGGAGATTTCACAATTTTATTGGACAGCAACCAAATTTTAAAATTTTTTTTTACCTTGGCAAGAAACTCACACACCCACTATACACCTAAGGGGACTCGAACCCTCAATCTTCTACTAGGCTTTAGCCTGTGGTAGGATAGCAACCATTTATTATTATGATTTTTTTTTAACGGATAAAAACCAATTGAATGCTGCAGATTTCTGTGTTGCCAATTCATGTAAAATATAGTGGGAGGTCATTTTCTTGCTCATTATTGATGTGTAAAATTACTCCATAGTTTGTAACTTTGTATGGTGTTTTGCAGGTGCTAGAAGATGATAGTGGAAATGTAGCAGTCCTTGTACAGCGCGCACTCTTGTACGAGAGTATGGAAAAGTACAAACTTGGGGCAGAAGACCTAAGGACTGTGATGAAACTTGATCCTGGCAACAGGGTTGCTAGAAGTACCATTCACCGCTTGACCAAAATGGCCGAGTAAGAAGTTATATTTATATATATATTTTCTCTCTCTCTCTCTCTCTCTCTTCTTTTTTTTTTTTTTTCTCTTTCTGGGGAAGCCTTTCCATTTGTTGGTAATACTATGTCCCCTCTTAATACGAACTTGTGCGGGGAATAATAACAGTTTGCTTGAGATAATGGATATTTCTGTTTGTTTTTGTCTTGTGAATTTAATGCATAATGCATTGTATTGCAGATATTCTTTTAATTGTGGCTGATAATTATTTCGCTTTGTTAATATAATTTGGCTTTTAGAATTATGAATCATAAGTGATGCAATTTCTGCTGGGTTTTGCATATCGGCGAAGCATGTTGTGTTACAGATGGTTGTTATGTACACTATGGACTGTGTATCTCGATTTGAAAAACTTGTGGGTGATATAAATTAATAATATGGACGAGTGTGCTAGCTTTCCCTCGTGACCATAAGGGCCTATTTGTTTTCATCTAAAAATAATTTTTGAAAGTTTTCAGTGTGTGTTTCTAAATTAAAAACAATAAAATATTTTACTGATTCTTAAGTAATTTTCTCCGTATTTAAATCGACTGAGCCTATATATGGTAAGAATGATTAGGGGGATATAGATGCAGTAGTTATGTCTAATTCCCGCTGAGTCCTTAAATCCATATAATTTTATCATGGCCAATCTTTTGTTTAGACTCGGGTTAGCAAATCAAACAATTCAATCCCTTACTATGGGTCATTTATTGATACACAAAATTAAATGGTAGTTATACATTTTTATGAGGTTGGTAATGTTTCATGAAGAGAGTATCATTGGAAATGTGTCATGATGAGTTATCATTTTCCAGTTAATATATGATTAGTCAAAAGGCTAAATAGTGCTATTTTGGAAGCCAACATAAAGAAATTTTTTATAGAAACATATACTAGAATTCAGTTTTCCTTCTGCCTTAACCCAGTAGAAGAACACAACATGAATTAATTTAGAAGAAATTATTATCATACCTGGTATGGGGCTAGCATGCCTAATGAAGAAAGATATATTTCACAATTAAAGTAACTGTTGTCTTTAATTTGTTTGTCTCCTTAATTAATTTGTGTGATTGCATTGAATTGATATTCAAATGATGTCCATTGTCCTTAATTCGTCTGATTGCATTGAATTGATATTCAAATGAGATGCTATAATAATTGTAGAGGACTAATAATTATATTCAAATTTTGCATTTTTGTGAATTATTTTCGTATTCATTTTAATCTTAAGACAAATGGCCACTCTATTTATAAGTAAGCTTTAAATTGTAGAGGACTGATACTTTTTTGAGGATTGACGGGGCCAACGGCTCGTTCTCTCGTTTACATATGCTTAGGTCCTTACGCGTCTTCTGTCAAAAAAGAAAGAATAATGTAAGAAAGAAAGAAAGAAAGGGTGGAGAGCTACTCCATTATTTTTAAATTGAAAATTAAACGTTGATCTTTTACACGAGCTTTTGAATAAGATTGATATTGATGTAGCCAATAGGAAATGACAATTTTAATCATACTTTCTTTTTCATTTTAAATCGTTGATGATTGATGCTTTGAGGATTCACGAGCCACACTAGAAACTTAGAGCAATACTTCCATAGAATATTTAAGATATTTATACTATAACTAGATTATTACAGAGAATGTTGTATTCTATACAGTGTAAATTGTTCTAAAATGCTTGCCATGTCATATCGTTGTCGCTTATGCAAACATTCTTACTTCGGAGCGTTTTATAATTGAATTAATAGTGGTGGTGTTGTGTCTTCAAAATAATGGTCAATTTAGTGACATTTGTGATTTCAATTTAATGAGTTATATTGTTATCAAGAGAGCTCTCGTGATAAAAGTGACAACTCTCCTTAATAGTTACATTGAATAATTTATCATATAATTAATTTGACATTTTATATTTAGATTAAAATCATAAAATTTTCACTGCTTTCAAATTTTGATCATAAAAGTTCAACTTGTTTTAGAAAACTTCTACACTTTTAAAAAATTGATTACGTTGTCTCAATATTCGTATTCGACCTGTTAACCGAACTATGAAATGACATATTTAACTATATTATTTAATGTTAAATAAAAAATTAAAAAGTATTTTTAAAAATTACAAAAATTATATTTTAAAGTAAGGGGTGAGAGTTTGAGAGGGGGGAGATACTTTTTGTAATTTAAAAGGGTATTTTTATAATTTTAAAAAATAATTTTTAGTTTTTAATTTAACATTAAATAGTAAGGTTAAATTATAACCCAATTGACCCGATCACGGATATTGGGACAATGTGATCACTTTTTAAATGTGCAAGAATTTTCTGAAACATGTTGGGGTTTTATTATCAGAATTTGAAAGTAGTAGGGGTTTTATGATTTTAACCCTTTATATATCTCAAAAAACTATTTCAATTGAGCGGTTAAAATAAGGGTTAAGTGCAAAAAAACTTTTTGTAGTATCGATATAGTGCAAAAAAGTTCCTATGTGGTATAAAACACCCCTCTACTTTTAATTTGGTGCAAATACCTCGTCTACATAAAAAGACTATAATACCCCCCTGCTAATAAAATGAAATAATATTTAAAAAATAAAGTAAGGTAAAATTATCATTTTAGACAATGACACATATCTATCAACCTTAATTGGTTAGGTGGCACAATAAATTAAAATAAAAAATAAAACATGTGTACAAAAATTTATGTAAAATTAAAAAAATAAAATAGAGAAAACTCATTGTTAAACGGGTGAAACCCAACTGATAAAAAAAGGCAGAATATGAAGAGAAATGGGCAAATTATGATTTTTAAATTTATCTTTATGTCAATTTTGACAAAAAAAAAAAAAAAAAAAAAAAAAAAAAAAAAAAAAAGTGGTTATTAGGGCTTATTTGCATCTCTTAAAAATTTTATGAAGTGAAATACATATTTTCAAAAAGGAGGAATTATTTATGCACAAAACGTAAATCACTAGGATATTTTCTGCACTTAACCCTTATTAAAATAGTTAGAACTCGTGACTCTTGTTCTCTCTTGATAAAATTACTTCGTATTATATTATTGATTTAATTGTGTTACACATATACAACACAATAGAGGTTTCCTTCTTGATTGGTTATGGGCAAAAAATTGGAAGAATTCCATGACTGCAACAAGAATCACGAAGAAAATATGATTGATGAGGAAGCCGTTATAGGTGGTGGGTTTGTTTCTTAAGAAGAGGCCGACGGAGGTGTTGGGAGACAGTGCGAAAGCGTTTCTATGCGTTTTCGTTTTTGGGTCATTTACACTTGCATCCTAAAAGCCTGCTTTAGTCTGATGCTCTTTTGTATACTTTCTAAAGGTAACGTGTGGTTGTAATTCACTCCCTTTTTCTCATCTACTTTAAGCCAAGTGTAAAATTACATTTTACTTATATTTCATTATCTCTCAAAATTAATAATCTTTTTTAAATAATAAATTATCTTAGTCTCGACTGTGCCAAGATACTAAATTAATAATATTGTTAAATTTATAAAATAATACATTTTAGATTTTTTTTTTTGTAAGTTTTTATAGGTCCCACCTATTACATAAATTAATAATTTAGTATGAAGTACATGTATGACTCACTATAATGTTTTCTTAAAATATGACTGACTAGATGTTTTCTTAAAATATGAATCTAGTATATTTTTTTCTGATCTATAAAACTTGCTTTACTTTTCAAAAAAAAAAATAATAATAATATTCTAGTATTGTTTGTCTTTTCTAATTTAAGAAGTACATTATAGATATTTTACTACCATAGATGTGTAATAAAGTACAACAAGAGTTCGTGTTTGAGTAAATAGGGTTTGTGTTACCTTCTGAAAAAATAAAAATAAAAATAAAAATAGAGTTTATGTTTCATTCAATACATTGCATGTACTTGATTATATGAGTTAGATAGTAAGTACAATGGATTGAATCTTTAAGATTATTGGGAAACTAAATGTTTTGAAAAAAATAAATAATGTACATAAAATATCTAGTTAAATTAATAATTAATAATTTAATATCGGGCTTAATTAATAATATTTATGTTATCCAATACTAATAATGTATAGAGATCATACTATATATGATAGGAAAAAATAAACTTAACCTACTTTGACCTAACGATAAAGGTAAGTAAGTGTTGACTCGCTGCCAAATCTCTTCTACTTTCGATTGATGATATTTTCATTGGATAAGAATGATAATATTATCAAGGAAAGATAAGATGACGTGGTTCAACAGATAAGATAACCTTAGCACGATTTGAGAAAGTCAAAGGGTTAAATCATATCCCTTGCAAATCTAGCACAAACGGATCTCCTCTGATCTAGCACAAACGGATCTCCTCTCCTCTGTGATACCGCAAATGAAATGAGGGAGAGCAGTTATAAGAATGAGATCTTACCAGTTAATAAAGGTACGACAAAAAACTATTATTAAATCCCTACCTTTCTATTAGACCTCCGATAACTAATTTCATCGTCGTAGAGCCCTTAACAGGCATCATACCGATACCGTTAAGATTCATCGATCTTCTTTTGCAAAGAAACGAATCGAACCGTATAAATTTCACCCTCAACAATATATATATATATATATATATATCCCTACCTTTCTATTAGACCTCCGATAACTAATTTCATCGTCGTAGAGCCCTTAACAGGCATCATACCGATACCGTTAAGATTCATCGATCTTCTTTTGCAAAGAAACGAATCGAACCGTATAAATTTCACCCTCAACAATATATATATATATATATATATATATATATATCATTTCCCTTAGTTTTCTCTCCCTCTCTATATATATGTTTTCTTTCTCTCAATCAAGTGAAAGTCTAGGCTTTTGAAGATGGGTGATATTGGCTTGTTTTATATATATGAAAGTCTTGGCATTTGAAGATGGGTGATATTGGCTTGTTTTATATATATGAAAGTCTTGGCATTTGAAGATGGGTGATATTGGCTTGTTTTATACCCATCTTCAAAAGCCAGGACTTTCACTTGATTGAGAGAAAGAAAACACACACACACACACACACATATATATATATATAGAGAGAGAGAGAGAGAGAGAGAGAGAGAACGAGGGAAATGGGATGACTCTTTTTTCCCTCAATTTCTAATTTTGTTTCCCAAGCTTAGCAGGTTTTGTTCTTTTTTCTTTTTAACCAACTTTTTTTCTTCATTCTTTTACCTTTTTCACCTATTATAAGTATTCACGTCTTTTCTTTTTAGTTCATTTTTGTTTTTGTTTGAGAAGATGAGAGAATTCTCTCTCATTTGTTTTCATTAGCAACTTAAAGAAAATCGAGATGCATTCCAACCTTCTATTTTTTCCTAAAGAGTCCACATATATATATATAAAGAATTATCTTTTATATTTTGAATCTTATATTTACCCTTATTAAACACTTTACGTTTAGCCATGACGTTTCTATTTCTTAGCAATAACAACTATAGAAGATATGAATTCATAAACTTTGTATCGAGTGCTCCCAAACAAAGAAAGTTTAGTATTTTGAAAGATTTTCATCAACAACAAAATCAAAATTAATTTGAAATTTTTTATATTGCTATAGTCAAATCAACAAACACAAAATTCTACACTAAAATAATGTTAGAAGGAAAATTCAATTAGTGGTGATAAATTATATCAATCAACTGTCAAAAATTATACCTACTCTGAGAAACACCGGCCAACAGGCCTCAGATGCCCATGGTTGAGTTCTAAAAAATCTACATCTACACCTTAGCCCTTGTAGTAATAAATTATGTTGACTAAAAATATATATATATATAACTTTGTACAAATTACAAATTATCTTAACATATTATTAGAGATTAAAAAAAATAAAAAATTACAAATTATCACTTATACAAAATACTCTCTATTCCAATTTAAATCTCGTTACTGAGAACTGACTCACAAAATATGATGGATTTACTCTTTTCTTATTATTTTTCCGTCTCAAAATTGTTAATACGAGTCACAAAATTATATGGATTTACACAAAATATGAGTCACAGTTGTTAATAACTATGCTTAAATTAGAACGAGAGATATAGTATTTTAATAAATTACTAAAAATATTCTAAAATATTAATAAAGTGCCAATATCAACTCTCTTTCAAAAAATAGCCTTTTATTATTTTTTTTTTTAATACAAATGGATTAATATGAGATCGCATCATTATAAAATCTTGAAAAAATATTACTATAAAGAATCACATACAAGCATTCCAATTGCTAAGTGACAAACGTAAGCTCAATTTAATTTGTACTGACAAAATATCTAAAACCAATAAGTTGGTTAAAAAAAAAAAATACGGAGTAATAATAATAATGATACAATGACATGATGGACCCACATACTTTCATGATTTTTGCTTTAAAATCGCCGGTTCTCTCATCAGTCGTCAGACTCATCACCATCTGATCAAACTAGTCGGCAAAAAGTAATTGCGGGGATTTGTCCTTTTCTCACCGATTGTGTAACCGTCTCAAATCTCATCTCAATTATAAATCAACCACTCGACACGGTCCACTTCCTCACTCACACATTTATCTTCGGTTTCTCTCTCTAAAACACACAAACACAGTCTCTTTCTCTCTCTCAAAAGTAGCAACAAGATGTGCGGCGGAGCTATCATTTCCGATTACATCCAAGACAAACGAGCCCGGAAAGTGACGTCGAAAGACCTCTGGTCCGAGCTCGACACCATTTCTGATTTCTTGGGATTGGGCTCGTGTTCGGGCTCCAACGATAGACCCCATTCAAGCCAGTCCGATAACAAGGCCACCGCCAAGTCTGAGCTACTTATCAACAAAGGTGAAATATATTATAAGCTACATGCATACACTTATACACGTATATAAAGCATATATATCTATATGATGAGGAGATGATGAAGATGCATCTGTTTTTGTTCATGACTTGTTAATTGAAATAATAACGTCATGTTTGATTTAGTTTTTTGAAAATAATTTTTTGTTTTTTTAAAAGTCTATTTTTTATTCATGAGTGCTTATTCATGACGTGATAATAGAAATAACAAGGACATGGTTTAGTTTTCTGATAATATTTTTTATATATATATAAGAACTACTATAAATTAAAATTTTGAAAAAATATCTGTAGAATTGATAGATTCTAAAACTTTTTTCTTTGAAAATTCAGTTTAGAAAATCTCTACTTTTAGAGAAGTGTAAGTTATTATTATTTGAAAATAGTTTTTTTTTTTTTATTTCTTAATTTAAAAATATTTTTATTGAAAAACTCAGTAGAATCTAATGGTTTATGAATTTTGTGATGGTAGGAACAAGTGAGAAGAGTGAACAAAAGCCGAGTCAGAAAACTCGGAAGAACGTGTACAGAGGAATCAGACAGAGGCCATGGGGAAAATGGGCTGCTGAAATTCGTGACCCTCAAAAGGGAGCCCGAGTCTGGCTCGGAACATTCAACACGGCCGAGGAAGCGGCCAGAGCTTACGACGAGGCCGCTAAGCGTATACGTGGTGACAAGGCCAAGCTCAACTTTTGTCAGCCACCTTCACCCTCACCACCACCACCCAAAAGGCAGTGTGTCAAATCCGAGTTGAGTCAGGCGAGTTTCGAGTCGACCGAGCCACCTCCATCCGTTAGTTTCGGGTTCCAAAGCCAACCCAGCTGTGAGCAAGAAGTGGCAAGTGAATTTGAGTTGCAGGAGCATATTTTCGGCTTGGAGTCGTTCCTTGGTTTGGTGCCTGAATCAACTCAGTTCGGCGGAGTTGGTGTGTCGGAGTCGGCTGATCTTTGGATGTTGGATGATCTTCCGATGACTTATGATCAGCATCATATGGTCTAATAAAAAAAAAAAAAGACAGACAAAACTAGAAGCTGTGTGCGGGTGGTGGTTTAAGATATTTTAGTGTTTTATTGTGTACGGTATGTTATTTTTTTTTTTATTATTTTTTTTTAAAGTTCGGTATGTTATGTTGTTGATGCTTTGGCCAAATCGACATATCTGTCTAATATATATATGACAGTAAGTTGCTTGTACTATTATCAGTAATGGATATGCTGTGGCCTTTTTGTTTAGTTTTTAGTTCTTAGAGGATGATGGAGATGTGGATCGATGCATGTGTCATCTCGTACTTAATAATAATAATAATAATAATATATTACTATATTATGGTTTGAATTAGTGTTAGGGTAAAGTGCATTAAATCCCCTGAACTATTTGGATATGTGCAAAAACTCCCTAAATTATAAAAGTTGCAAAAAATTCCCTTGAACTATTGAGGTATGTGCAAGAAACTCCCCTGAACTATAAAAGTTGCAAAAAACCTCCCTGAACTATTAGGGTATGTGCAAGAAACCCCCCTGAATTATAAAAGTTGCAATAAACTCCCATGAATTATATATTTTTTTGTAATTTACCCCATCCGCGCGAATTGATTGATTGAAAGGGACGATGAAGCCGTGGAATTTGTGGCTGGGATCGAAGTAGTAGATGTCATCTGAGGAGTGTTTGGATAAGCCAAGGAATCTGTTGCTGAGATTGGTGGGTCTCCTGTCATAGCTCCATCATAGCCGTTGCACCACCCGTCTCCGTTGGCCATATATATTGCATTTCTTTGCACCATTGCGTCAGCCCATCGCCGTTACCGCCTTGCCCGCCGTTCAGCTCACCTTGCTCGCCGGTCCATTCCATCGTCCATTCCAAGCTCGCCGGCCCATTCTGCCATCTCCATAGTCGAGCATACCGCTGTTCGTGTTTCGAGCACACAGCTATCCACAATTCACCGCCGAGGCCCCCTGAGCTCGCCGCCGCCTCCACAGCTCACAGCTGAGTCAACCAAGCTCTCATCACAGCCGAGTCCTTCGCGCACAAGCCGCCATCATCCTAGACCGAGCCATCCCGCCGACCTCGAATTTCTTTGGTCTCTTCTCTCTCTAGCTCTCTGTTTTGGGTTGTGTTGGGTGAAAAACATCTTTTGGCAGAAAAAAAAAAAAAAAAAAAAAAAAAAAAAAAATGTAAGAAGTGTATAAGTTAAAACGACGCAATTTGTTATAAGAGTAAACTGGTCTTTCAAAATTTTTGGTATCGGAAGTTGATGTCATAGGGGTAAATTGCAACAAAATCATACTTTAGGGGGGTAAATTGCAACAAAATCATAGTTCATGGGGGGTTTTTTGTAGTTCAGGGGGGTTTCTTGCAAATAACCAATAGTTCAAGGGGGTAAATTGCAACAAAATCATAGTTTAGGAGGGTAAATTGCAACAAAATCATAGTTCAGGGGGGTTTTTTGTAGTTCAGGGGGGTTTTCTTGCAAATGACCAATAGTTCAAGGGGGTAAATTGCAACAAAATCATAGTTCAGGGGAGTTTTTTGTAGTTCAGGGGGGTTTCTTACAAATGACCAATAGTTCAAGGGGGTTTAATGCACTTTACCCTTAGTGTTATTATATTGTTTGCAACTATGTTTATCTTAAGAATTAATAATATTATTATTACTAGGGTAAAGTGTAAAAAAACTCCCCTTCAACAATTGGCCATGAAGCAGAAAATCCCCCTGATTTATTAATTTGACATATAACCCCCTTGAACTAATCAATTTGGTGCAATTAACCCCGTCCGGGGACAAATCCGTTGAATTTTACCGTAAAGACGCACATGATCGGTCACGTGACTATTCAAATTTTTTTAAATGACCATACAACTCTTTAAGCTAAGTGAATAAAATGACACATGTACCCTTATTATTGTCTAATCTCGGAATAGTGTTTGAGCAGCAACCAAACAAGGCCTAAGTAAAGCCCAAACACAATATACAATCCAAAAAATGAAAAAAAAAAAAAAAAAAAAAAAAAAAAAAAAAAGATCCAAAATCAAGCAAGAGGGGTCGGCTATGAAGAGCTCGTCCGCGATGGAGGGGTCGGCTGTGAAAAGCTCGTCCGGTGAGGGTTTGACCGGCGATGGAAGAAACTCAGCTGTGAGATTGCGACGCGGCGCGGCTGGGCGGGATGGAACGGCTGTGAAGAGCTCGTCCGTGATGAAGGGGTCGGCTGTGAAGAGCTCGTCCGGTGAGGGTTTAACCGGCGATGGAAGAAGAAGCTCGGCTGTAAGATTGCGACGCGGCGCGGCTTGGCGGGATAGAACGGCAATGGCCACCACTACAACAGATCGATTTATTGAGGACGATTTGGTAACCACCTGCAAATTAAGACCGGTGGTCGTGTTGTGTGTTATTGGCTTTCAATTTGGGGTTTGGATTTGGTGTTCGAAGTGGTGGTTGTCTCGCAGTGTAGATCAAAACCCGCAGCCACTGCCACTTCTTTGGCTTCAGTTTCGGCTTCACTGCCGCCGGAATAACCAGTGGCTCCATCGCCGAATGAACCCATTTTGTCGCATATTTGATCTACTAATTTTTCTTAATCGGGTGGAATCAATTGCAGGACCTTTGTTTGCACCATCACAACAGAGATCGTGAGGAAGAGGCGAAGCCGCTTGTTGGCTTTTCGAACGTCTTGAATGCTCCTGCCCAGAAGCCGTGTTGGGACGACTGGGAGTTCCCGGCGGAGAGGTTAAATTGATTTTAGAAACCGGCAAGCACTAAATCACACCAGTCGCCGTTCTTGTCTCGCGACCACCATTGATGCCGTTGAAGCTTCGTGATTAAGGTGCTCGACCCATAACGCATATACGACTCAGTTAATGAAATGGGTTGCCGTCGCCGGAGAAGCTGCATGGCACGGTTCGGCGTGGGTATGTCTGTCATTGATTGAAGCTCCCCTCCATGTCACCATGGTCATAAGGTTGCTTTTATAAGGGTAAAATTGTCTTTTACTATTTCTGTTTACACCAATTGGCCAGATATGTCACATTGGGGGTCAATTGCACCAAATTCAATAGTTCAAGGGGGCAAATTGTAGTTCAGGGGAGTTAATTGCACATGGCCAATAGTTGAAGGAGTTTTTTTGCACTTTACCCATATTACTATTATTGTTTGAATGCTTTGTTAAGCTAGTATTAACCAACCAAATGGAGAGATGACATGCCTAAAATACTTAAGCTGCTTTCAGTTGCATAAAATTTGAATCTTGAAATTACAATTTATGAAATTGAAGAAAAATAACTCACCAAATTGAATCAAATTTTTTTAAAATTTCACCAATTTTATTTTTAATACTCCAATTCTATACCTCAAATACAACCTTAATATAATGAGTTTAAGTATTGTTGGCTGCTACATTGCAGAAGTGAGTGATCATCTCCTTCAAAATGTGGATCTCATTTCAGTTATCAATTCACATGGACGAATTATTTAAAAAGTACTTTGGAGGCCATATATATATATATATATATTGTACTGCGTATATGTTTGCACAATGATGAAGGTGTTCATTTTGAAATTAAAAAAATATTAATATTTTTTCTCTTATATTTTAAATTCAAAATAAAAAAAATGTTATTTAGTCCTTTTCAAAATATTTGTCTCTCTTTACATTTTAAGATGTCCCAAAAAAAAATATGTCTCATTTTGAAAAGAATGTATTATTTTTTATAACATTTTTAAACGTCTAATTAGCTAAACAAGTGAACTAATTACGAAACACTATATTAACTAAACAAGTACACTAATTACGGAACATTATTTTATCTTTTTAACAAGAATATATTTAAAACTTCATTCTTATCAATATAAGAAAAAATTATTAAAACTCTACTACCATAAAACATTAAATTCTTCGTACAAAACATGTATTTTGGAACAAGTAAAGTATTATTACTGTGCCAAATCGATATATTTGAAACTTCATTCTTATTAATATAACAAAAAATTATTAAAACTCTATAACCATAAAACATTAGACTCTTCGTACAAAACATGTATTTTGAGACCAATAAAATATTATTACTGTACCACATCGATGACGTCGGATGATAAAAAAATATATATATTCGTGCTCATCCTTGGGTGGTAAGCAAACATTGTCGAAACCCAAGCTTCTCTGCTATAGTAATACATGTGTTGTGAGCATAATCCAAATTTCCATCATTTTTTTCCACAAAGTTTGACTTGACAGATTCTGAGATTGTCAAAGATTTTACTTTCTGAAGACAAAATTTTCATGTTCAGATAACCTATGCTGCCGTGTAAAGAAACGAAAGTGAAAAACAATAATTGAAAAGCTTAATGGCAAGAAGAGGAACCACAATAGCCAATTAAACAAGTGTCATATTAATTAAAAAGACCTAAATATGTACCTAAATAATATATATATATGGAAGAAGAAAGGAAGAGATAAACCACAATAGATGAAGTTAGGTTGGTGAGACAATGAAATTAAACAATATAGAGTAGCCATTCACATGGGAAGATGCATGAACCAAACTGTAGGTGCGTCACTCAAAATCCAAGTGGGGGCTATTAATCTATTCCTTGATTCCATTACTTCCTGCTGCTTCCCCGGGGTTACTACTATTCCCAGTCGCCATGTTTCCCTATTTTTCTTTCTAGGCAATATATACATCATTCTTCTCGCCCAATTAGCATATTACTATATGGTTCATAGTTCACGGGTGTGGGAATCTCCGTGTTACAACATCCGTGTTGTACTCTTATGAACGATTGTATCGCATTTTACTCTTTTACTGTATGATTTGTAGAGTTGTTATCAAGGTAAAAAAAATAAAAATAAAAATAAAATAAAATAAAATAATACAGTACTCTCTTTTTGTTTCTTATCTATGTCTTATTTTCATATACATAATAATTTTGCATTAGCAGCATAGCATGGAATTATAGATTCTATGTTACCGAACACAATTTATCTTAGGTTACATTTAGTGGCGTGGAATTTGAGACCTAAAATTAGAACTAAGAATAAAATCAAATTTTCTCCAAGTAGACTTGATTCTATCATTCCAAAAACACAATTATTCAACGCCATTAATTTAAATATAATCGAGTAATAAGTGGTATTTCAATGTCATCTATAAATTAGGTCCGTTTCTACTACGTATTGAATTATTGATACCCATCACTAGTTTGATCCATTAGCACCCAATAGACTTAACCAACTTTCCAAAAT